GGCGAGGCTCGGGGCTCAGCCCGGCGCTCCCGGTGGCGGCGGCCTTAGCGCCCATCCAGCCGCGAAGGACCCAGCCCCTGACGGCTGCTTGAGTTCGGAGGATCCAGCCGGCGACCCCAAGTTCGCGGTCGTGTTCCCGAGCATGCACCGCCCGGGAAGGGCGTCCAGCATCCAGAGCGCAGGAGAAGCGATCGCGGACGCCGCCGCTGCTGGGGAGGGACGCGTCTGGCCTCGTGCCGAGGCTGCAGGGGACAGTGACGGCCGCGGGGCGAGTGGGCCAGGGGCGGCCGGACCCCGCCCCGACTCCTTCCCACCCTCGACGGGCTCCGACGAGCCCCCGCTCGAAGACAGTGGCTCCAGCAGCGAGGTGGAGCCCGAGGCCTTGGATGCCGAGGCCCGGGTGCACTGGGCGCAGGGCTCAGACCCCCGCGTGGACCCTGGGCCAGGCTCTGAGCGGCTGCTGCCCCGGCTCACCCTGGAGACCCGCTCGCAGCGGGAGAGGCGCGGGGGCCGCTGTGCATCCCTAGGGGATCGGTGGGAGCCGGAGGACGAGGCCGAGGAGGCGCTGGAACAGGACCTGCAGCTGAGCCGCAGGGCCAGACTAGAGGGGCCGCCTGTCCCGAATGCCGGCCCTGAGGACGTGGAGGATGTGGCCCGGCTCCGGTGAGCTGGGGCCCAGACTCTGCTGCCCCAGGAGTAGAGACCCTGCGCTGTGTCCACAATACGCCCCCAGTCCCAACACATAGAAACTGCACCCCCCAATAGAGCTCTATTTGGGAAGGTGTGGTGCACCCCACCAAGGGTTTTCAGTTGGATGAAATGCAGGGTCACTGTCCCCCACACTCTCTCTAATTGGCATGAAGTTTCTTTCGCTCCAGCTTAGGGGCCTGATCCTGCTTGTTACACCTTCAGGGTGGGTCACTTGCTTAACAGCCTGCCTCCTATTTCAGTGACAAGGCCCATAGAGCTTGCCTTAGCTGGCCACTGGCTTGTAGTAGTCCTAGTAGGCAGAGCTTAGCCAAGACCCCTCAACAACCTGCCCCTCCACTTCACTGTTCCCCCAGACTGGTGTGTGACAGCTCCGTGCTGCTGTGTCTCAAGACGAGGTTTCACCTGAACCGTATCTATGTATGGGGGCCCTGCGGGGAGGAGGGGTCCGGGTCTGGAAGTGACCGTTCTCCTGGGGACAGAGGATCCTCCACCACCCCTGGGGCTCCTCTTCCTCTCCTGGGTGGGTGGTGAGCCCTCTCTGGGTACCCGGGGAGGGACCAGGGTGGCAGGACTGGGGGGTATCAGAGCTCCACCCCATTTTCATGTGCATTTCCTGTCCATGGGAGGGGGTGGAGAGGTGGGGCTTCCCACCCCCTTAAAGAGTCAGTCTCAGAAATTCACAGGGCAGTTCCACCCTGTCCTAGAGGGTCGCTGTGAGTCAGCAGGGACTGCAAGGGCAGTGAGTTTGGGCTCTCCGCTGTGTGTGATGCGCCCTTCTACCTTCCTCCCTAGACCTTTGGGGGACCTCTCTTACTTGCTCTAAACCCCCATCGGCCCCTGCCGCTCTTCACACCTGAGATCCTGGCCAGCTACCACCCCGAGAAGGCTCCCAACACCACCCCGTAGGTGACCTTGGCCCCAGATCGTTGCTCAGGCTACCAAGCCCCAGCATGGCCCACCGACTGACACATCCCACATCCCACAGGGCACATCCTCCCTACATGTAGAGCTGGCACCCCGATGCCCAGCTCTGGCCCCCTCTCATCTCACCCCCACTCCCACTTCCACCCTCCAGACACATCTTTGCTGTCGCAGAAGCAGCCCTTAGCCAGGCCCAGAGGGCTGAGCGGGAAACTTGCATCCTCCTCAGGTGTGTTGGCTGTCCCTTTCACTGGCCCTGGGGCGGGCTCCAGTTCCTGCCTGGGTGCCTACAGGCACAGGCCAGGGTGAGGCGGTCTGGTCTGCTGTAAGGTGGCAACTCTGGACTAGAACATGGGATCTCAGGACCCTTCTCCTCCAGGTCCCTGAGTCCATCTGTATTGCTGGGGGCCTCTTCCAGGGGAGGGGTCTCCTCCAGGTGGGCACATCCCTTCTTCCTAAGGGGCATTAGGAGACACTTCTACTTTCTGCCACTGCCCCCTGCAGCGGACACAGCGGTTCAGGGAAGACAGAGAGTGCCAGGAAGGTGATGTGCTTTCTAAGCAGCCTGGAGCAGGAGCAGAAGAGGGGCAGGTGCCAGGTGAGGTGCTGCAGGACCCTGTGGCCTGGGGGCCTATGATCCTGGAAGAACTGCCCTTTGGCTAGGAGGAGGGTGACCATTAGACCTCTAGCTTCTGGGGGCAGGGTGGGAAGGCTGTTCTAATGGACCCAAGCCCCTCTGTGGTCCCGGACCAGCATCCCGTCCACAGAGCACTCTCAACTGGGGTGCCTAACTCAGGGTACCTTGGTGCTACCTGGGTTACACGATGACCCCCCCCCCTGCCCCCCAGCTGGAGAACGTGTTGCCGATGTTCACAAGCTTTGGCCATGCAAAGACAGTCCTCAACGCCAATGCCAGCCGCTCGGGCCAGGTCTCGTGCCTCTTCCTGCAGCGGTGAGTGGCGGGGTCCAGGTGGGCACAGGAGAGCCCATGTCTGTTCATACCTGGAGTCAGCCCATGGTGGGTACACAGCCCAGGCACTTGCTACCTGGACTCCTATGCCCACAGAGGGGTCGTTGTAGGAGCCTCAGTGTCACATTACCTGCTTGAGACCTCCAGGGTGGTGTTTCAGGTAATGTCTCCATGCTCTCCACACCCTTCCAGCCCCTAAACTATAAAAAAAAAAAAGAGAGAGAGAAGGCCCATTGTATAGGGGGGTCCTGGGCCCACAAGCCTGCCTTTCCCAGGACCTGTCCCAGCTTCCCTGGGGCACGAGGCCAGGCCACCCCTAAGCCAGCCCTTCTCCCCAAGGCCCAGGGCGAACGGGGCTTCCATGTCTTCTATGAGCTGCTGGCGGGGCTGGAGCCCCGGGAACGGGAACAGCTCTCCCTGCAGGGCCCCGAGACCTACTACTACCTCAATCAGGTGGGCATTGGCACAACCTGCACACAGCTCCAGGGAGGGCCAGGCCAGCCTCTCACTGTTGCGCTCCATAGGGCCGGGCCTGCAGGCTCCCGGGCAAGGAGGACGCCCAGGATTTCCATCGGCTGGTGAAGGCCCTGCAGGCTCTGGGCTTGGGCCCTGAGGAGCTGGCCGCAGTCTGGACGGTGCTGGCCGCCATCCTGCAGTTGGGGAACATTTGCTTCTCCTCTTCAGAGGTGGGCATCTCTGGGGCAGGGCAGGGATCCCAACGCCGTAGCCCACGTCGTCGCAGGAGCAGTCAGGCTGTCTTGGACAGCACCCAGAGCCCCAAGATGGAGATAAGAAAGCTGAGACCTGTATCTTCCATCTGAGGCCCCACACAGTCCCACTAAGTCCCGAAGCAAACCCGCTGCCCTGGACTAATTGATTCAAACTCCCAGTGTCCTGACAACAGGGGAGAGCTGCCCTTGTGGGTTTCCGAGGCGGTCAGTCATTCTGGGAGCACATAGCCTCATCTTTTCTCCAGGGAGCAGCAGAGGATTCAAACCGCCGGCTTTCAGTTAGCAGACAAGGCGTTTCCCACTGCCCCAGGGCTCCTGCGCTGTGTAGCTCACTTCAGCTCCCACCTCCAAACTCACTGCTGTCAGGTCGATGCCAGCTCACAGTGACCCTGCAGAGCAGAGTAGAACTGGCCCTGGGGGTCTCTGAAACTGTAACTCTTTATAAGAGTAGAAAGTCCTGTCTTTTTCCCATAGAGCAGCGTGTGACTTTGAACTGCTGACCTTTCAATGAGCAGCCCAATGTGTAACCACTACCACTATGCCACCAGGGCTCCAAAGACAATAGGAGCGTGAACATGGCTGCTCTTCTGGCAGCCATCAAGACGTGGGGCTGGGCGCCACAGGAGATTGTCCAAGCCAACCAGCTAGTGAAGTGAGGTCGGCACCTCAAACATCGTGCCTCAGATTCCTGGGCTCCCCAGGGCCCAGGCTGGCCCACCCAGTGCCAGAGAAAGAAATGGGGGTGCTGCGTGGAAATTAAGGGCCAGCTCTTACCTGCCTAGACCTGACCACGTGTCATTGTCCCTGCCCTTCTTTGTCCAGCACGAGTTCAGGGAGGTGGCAGCAGTGTCCAGCTGGGCAGAGATCCACACAGCAGCCCGACTGCTCAGGGTGCCACCTGACCGCCTGGAGGGTGCTGTCACTCAGAGAGTCCTGGTGAGCCCGAGGGTCCGGGCCAATCAAACCACCCACGCGCATGTGCCAAGGGCTACACTCACCCCCACGGGCCTGCCCTGTGCCCCCAGGAGACGCCCTACGGCCGAGTCTCACGCCCCCTGCCAGTGGAAGGTGCCATGGATGCCAGGTGATGGTCTGCCTGGGGTTGGGAGGGCCTGGCGGCCCTGGTGAGGTGGTCTCTGTGGCAGCTCATAGACCGCGTCTGCAGGGACACCCTGGCCAAGGCCCTGTATTCTCGGCTCTTTGACTGGCTCCAGAGGAGGGTGAACACACAGCTAGCAGTGCCCAGGGATGGAGACAGCGTGGGCACCGTCACTGTTGTGGACGTCTACGGCTTCGAGGTTACCCCTGGGGGACCCTCCCATCCCGGTGTGGGCACGTGTCTTCTGTGGTGCCTCCATCAGTTGGGTGGCAGCTGGGCTGGGTCAGGGCCAGGGTGGGTGGTACAGAGAGGAAGCGAAAAGAAGCACCCGCATACTGGAGACTGGGCAGTCTAGGTAAGGAGTCAGCATGCCAAAGAACTTGGGGTGCCCCTCTTACCACCCTGCAGTGTCCACCCTATGTCCACCTGTATGTCCAAGCAGCACCTCACCTTTTCCAGTTACTGAGGGCCTGGGGACAAGGAGCTCTCAAGACTTCTGTGGTGAAGGTGGGAGCCCTGCTCCCCAGGCTCCCAACCCCCCTTGGTTTCTCGCAGGCAAGCCCGGGGGGAGAGCAGGGGCTCTGTATGCCCCCAAACTTCCAGGCTGCAGGCCTGTCCTTCACAGGCTGTGTGACCTTGGGCAGGTTAACAGCCTCTCTGCGGTGCAGTTTGTACGACTGTACACTGGGGGTCAGACTAGTACCTGCATCTGGTAGGTAAGTGGAAGGCTCAAAGGGAGCTTCCTTCAGGAGGGAGTTCAGCACGGTGGGTGGGTGCAGCCCTTTGCCCCACAGTGCCCCTCAGCTGAGCAGACTCCAGGAGCCTGGGGAGGGGAAGATAGGACAGCCAGCCCCTCCCTGCCCCCACCTCCCACACTTTGCGAGGAGAGGGAGGAGGGGCGGCCCCCAATCTCGGGATGGTACCTCTTCAGGGCAATGTGGGAGAGGCGGGGCTTTAGGATGGGAGGTGGCTCTGAGGGAGCACCACCCACCACCTCCTGCTCCACCCCATTTGGCACAGTGTGCCCTCTGGGACCCCCTCAGGTGTCCTTGAGGTGGGGGAGGGGGCAGATAGGGCAAGTGTATGGGGTGCTCATGTCGTGTGTGTGTGTGTGTGTGTGTGTGTGTGTGTGTGTGTTGCAAACATCACACGCTGCAATGCTGCCTGATGGGGGGCTCCTGGCACATACTCGGAAAGTGCAGGGGGGCTGCCGAAGGAGCTATGTCTAAAAGAAAGGAAGACAGGAAGGCTTCCTGCCAGAGGAGGCTTGAGGTCCCTCTCCTGAGGACC